ACATGGGCAGACAGCCCGGTCGCCTCTCCTTACATCTGTGCTTTCAAACCCAGGGCTGGTCATCACCTCCACCCCCACCCCCTGTAAGGGAAGCATCCCGTGTGAAACAGACTCATGGAAGCGAAGGGCCTCTTTGCTAGTTCCAAAGCAACACATGTGCTACCAAACCACGGGGCTGTATTGAGATGGCTGTTCTGTCCCGCAATCAGTCTCTACAGGTCATCAGTCCTCTGACTAAAGAAAAGATTTGTTTATTTACTTGTTTGTTTATTTGTTTACGTTATTTATAGTCCTCCTTCCTCACTTGGATCCAAGGCAAGCGGCACAGAGTGAGTCAAGACAATCGAGGGAAATGGTGCAATAGGAATTTGGTTTGTAGAGCCACCCAGAGGTCTAAAAACAGAACTGAAGGAAAGCAGGATTACTTACATGACACAGTAAATGACGCAAAACTCCACGGTAGGATCCTAGTTTCAGCAAGCGATGCACAGGAGTTCCTAATGCATTTTCTAATTAACTTTGTGACTCATTTAGTATAGTGCAGGTCTGTTTCCTGCATTGAAAAGCCCGCTTGAATAATTCAGTTTTGCCTAGTCTGCGGAAAGCCGGGGGTGTGGGCGGGCCATTCCATGAGGCGGGGGCCACAACGGAGAAGTCCACGTGCAGGGGCAGTTGTCGACTTCACCCGTTTGCAGGGTGGCAGGTGTCGTGTGCGAATCGTGCATATGAGCCAAAGATCATTCAGGTTTATCTTTTAAGTTTTTGAGAACAATCTAGTCGTTCTTGAAATTAGTAAATACAAGAAGAGGGACCCACGATACTCGTGGGGAGGGGGGAGAATCCCCCCCTCGGCTCCTGGAAGCAGGAGGACCTCAGGGCTGAGGAGGAAGCAGCCACAGGTAAGCTTCCGCACCACCACCGGCTCCGGCAGTGAGGCCTGAGTGGCTTCCAGCCACCGGGCCCTCCAATCTCCCCCCCCCACTCTAGGGATCTCCTCCTCCGCCGCCGCTCCCGATCTCCTTCCCCCCCTCGGCTCCAGCAGCAAGGCATGAGCGGCTTCCAGCCGCTGCCGGCCGCAGCATTCCCAGGGCGTTCACTGCGCATGTGCAGGGAACACTCTTTTACTTTGGGGGGGATTTAAGTATCCCCCCCATAGTTTTTAATAGATTTCAGATTTTTCTGCGCACCTGGGGACTGCCCCAAATGTGCAGGAAAATCTCCCCGCCCCCCAGGTGCCCCCGATGTGCAGATTTAGATATCTGCACGCCGGGGGGGGCGCCTTGGCTATTAGATATATAGATGAAAGAATCACAATGATAAAATATACACCTGCATGTGCAGATGCAGGCCGGTAGCCAGGAATTTCTAATGGGGGGGGCATTTTAA